TGAAAAAGCCCGGCAAATTTAAAAAAATGTCAGTATAGCAACCCAAAAATTGGTATGTCATACCTGGAGTAACCAGACGTGAAGACGTAACAAACAAGCAAATTATTATAAAGTATCAAATTAGGTTACTCTAGGTATGACATACTAATTTTTGGGTTGTTATACTGATATTTTTAAATTTGCCGGGCTTTCTCAATCTCTACTTTCGTTTGCCAGACTCTACTTACATTTACACTAGTTTCAATAACACAATCATCATAATGACAAACATCACCCGCACCACAGTTTGGTACAAAAACATCGTAACATAAGTAAGCAAACATCTGAAGCGGCGATCCTATAAGCATAGAGGATCATACATCAAAAATCACACACGGAAAAAGTTTCGGACGCCACAAAAAATATGAGGACTAGGTAGAAGATTTCTGCGGATCCTTGGCACCCTGTGGCGCCGCGGCCATTTTCAAACGGATCTCTCTCTATAACATGACAGCCGAAATTACCCCACATCACTAAAAACGACATCTAGAGAGCAGTTTGTTTAACACAACAAGCCGTTCCGATCTAACGATGACACGATTTTGACGCCGATCTATCGCTCTCATTAGGATTCCATTTTTTTAAACTTTGCCATTTCTGTTAGTAATTAAGCCAATATGAATGAGAGTAGCCATTAGTGTCAGGTTTATGGTGGCCCAGTGGACAACCTACGGTAATGGCGTTAGTGAAAAAATAAATACGGAACCTGAACTAATTTTATAATTGTTATTGCGAATTATTAGGGTCATTATTTTTAAGTTCTTACCTACCGCATCGGTTGGAGGGTTCTTTGTTTTAGTGCGTACACGAATTTATGACTTTCAGTAAATACTGAAATGTTTATTTATACCTATATGATTATAGAGTGTATGAAGAGTTCTCCATCGAAGACAAAACTTAAATAGTTAATTGAAAAATGTAATTAGGGAACCACATCAAGCACTGTTAGATACGTACAATACTGCTTCAATTTGAAAAATATAAAATTATAGATGGCTAGGATGTTTTACTGACTTTCAGAAATTGAAATCGTAATACATGGTTGGCACAATGACTAAACAATCAGGTAGCTTCACGTATCGCAGGTTCGAATCCCACTCGGAACAATTCTTCGTGTGATTTCCATCTTACACTACAAATCGTTGGGAAAGGGTTAGTAGTTAGTTACTATGATTTTTTTTTATATTTGAAGTAAGGTAATTAATATCTTTCAAAGCATATGAAACATTTACTTTCTTTATTAATGCAACAGCTAGCGCCATCTGTTGTCTAGTGGCTGAACTAGATTTTAAATATTTTTCAAGCTCCGTTTTGGAATGACATTTTGGAAGTTACTTTTAAAGTATTTTTACGTGGATTCCTTTATTTTTTTTATGAAATGTAAAATATGAGGCATCATACATAATTTGTTAGGTGCTATCTCTCTATTTAACTTCCTAACACAGTATCGCTATTAGTCTCTGGTGTAATAATAGAGCCCCATTGTTATCAACACCACTAAGCCATTCATTTGCTTTAAATTTTAGAAAATCTTTTAACATTTGTCTGACTCTGGAATCGAACCCATGCTCCAACATGGTCTTCATGCGTCGTGCTTGTGACCATTGTATTAATACGACAGTCATTCGAGTTACTATACACAGTGAAATCTATATGTCAGTGAACTTAGCTGATCATTGTCCAGCAGATCAATAATAAATGAGAGTTCTCATTGCATGCAGCTGAGTTCTATAGTTCCTGATACCTTTTAGAAATAGTTCAGGCGTTATCTATTTAGCTTTCGTCTCGTGGCAAAGCAACTTACCATTAATAAGGAGTACTTTCGATGTATAACATAACATAACATCACGCCTTTTATCCCCGAAGGGGTAGGCAGAGGTTCACATTATACCATTGTACTATGTAACACCCACTTTTCACTATTTATGTTATGAGTCCCATGTAGTAGGAGGTGAACCTATTGCCATATACCGGGCGCTATTCCAGACTCCGTGCTACTACTGAGAATTTTTTAAAAACCCAGTAATACTTTGCCCGACCCGGAAATCGAACCCGAGACCCGTTGCCTGGCAGTCGCACTTGCAACCACTCGGCACACGAGGCAGTCCGATTCGCACTATGTTACCCGACGAGAAATACCTCTTCGAGAATTACAGAGTTTGATAATGTACCTATTATGAGTAAAATTTGCTTTTTGCAATGGTTAACCAGTTATTTTTTGTTTTAAACATTTTATTCTATTTTTTTTTTTTTTTAATAAAACGTTGCCCCACACTAGGATTTTCTCCTGTATCGTGGGTGCGTTTACAAACATACAAGTTCACATACACAATGACACCCAGACCCGAAACAACAATTTGTGGATCACACAAAGTGATGTAACGTGCGGGAATCGAACCCGCGACACGTTGCACGGCAGCCAGTTGCCCAGCCTCCGCACCAACCGTGCAGTCGTTTGTAAATCTATTGCATTAGCAAGACAGTACCATTTTACTTCGGGACGAAAACGAAATAGATTTCACGGTACAAGTATACATTCAATAAAGGCCTACATGACAAGATTGTGCGAAACATGTAGAATACAAATGTAACACCGACCTATATCCAGGTTCCTTTGGTGTGTCGTGTAAGACAGAATAGCTTTTGTCCAATAGCCACTTTGCCTGTGGGTGAACTGTGGAATAAGAATTGACGCAACGTTATAGAACTACACATATTATGACAAAAATTCATCACTAATGCTCACTACTAACTTAGAACTATATCGAACAAAGAGTTTGTCTTAAATTTTGCTCGACAATGGAGTTTCGTTTTAGGAGTCACTGAATATGTTACAGAAGGTTTACGGTGAATCGACTTTATAAAAACTCGTGCTTATGAGTGGTTCGAAGCGTTCAAAAGCTGTCGAGATGTGATGGAAGATTTGCCTCGCTCTGGTAGGCCGTCAACGTCTGCAACTGAAGTTAACATCGCAAAAGTGAAGGAAATAGTGACTGAAAATCCCCATTCAACTTTAAAAGAGATAGCCGCCGAACTTTCTGTATCTCACGAGTCGATCCGTACCTACCATTTTTACTGTATCAATCATCATCAACAAGAATCATTTGTGTATGAAACATGTTGCTGCTCGGCTAGTCCCAAAAGATCTGAATTTGTCCAAAAACTCAATCGTATGAAAGTCGCTGACGACAAGTAGAACGAGTCAGTTCGGACCCAACATTCATGAAACGCATTGTTAATGGTGACGATACGTGGGTTTACATGCAAACTAGTCGACAAGCTTCGGAGTGGCGCTTTCCAACTGAACCGAAAAAACCACGCCAAAGTCGACCAAAAGTCAAAGTCATGTTGACTGTTTTCTTTGACTATCGCGGTGTTGTCCACTCTGAGTTCTGACCGGAAGGTCTACCGGTAGATAAAGAATATCATTTGAGCGTTATGCGGCGTTTAAGAGAGCAAATTTGACGAAAAAGGCAAGATTTGTGGAAAGAAAATTTTTGGATTTTGCACCACGACAATGCGCCTTCGCACAAGGCTATTATTGTGAACGAATTTTTGACCAAATACTCAACAAGTACCATCTAGCAACCACCACATTTACCAGATATGACTCCTGCTAACTTTTTTCTTTTTCTAAACTCAAATTACCACTTCGTGACACGGTTTTCAACCGATAAAAGGCATAAAGGAGAATTCGCGGCGAGAAATAAACTCAATTCCGGAAGCAGCGTTTAAAAAATGTTTTGATGAATGGATTATTCGTTGGCGCAAGTGTATCGTGTAAAGGAGCATACTTTGTAGGTGATAAAATAGATTTGGATGAATAACAGACATTTTGTGTATTATTGATATTTTCCCGGTACTTTCTTGACTGAGTAGTATAATTATACACATTATTGACGTCTGTCGCATGACATGATCCCTCATTAAACTTCCTGCATTACGGTGTAGCAAGTACCCGCACACATAAATACACCAGTGACATATTGGTGCTTCAATCATTTGTAAGTAGGGTTGCCACCTTTTATTTTGGTATTTAAAGTACATTGACGATTATAGGTAAGTAAAAAAAAGTACATAGTACAACAATAAAGTACAATTTATTCTTATTTAGAATATTCTATTTTAAAATATATTTTAATTGCTTTATGCAGTTTGTATTAAATTAGTATTTTTACTAAACAATTGCATCTTTACTAGAAATTGTCTAAGAGACGCTGGCGAGTGGCGAAATCGATTCAACATAAATCGATAAATATCGATATGGAATCGATAAGATAAGATATCGACAATTTTTCACACACACACACACACACATGCACATTTCAGCAAAATTTATATAATTTCATGTTTATTTTCTGTCCTCATTGAGGGGCGGCACCGCCGTCCGTGAGTCACTGCAGGGTGCCACCTGAAAACCAGCGTTGGGCACAAACGTCCAACCATATGCTGAGGTGGAGGCCCTTTTGGCATTAGCACGCGCAAATTAATATTATTATTTTGTTTATTAGAAATTGCTTTTTTTTTTTTTTTTATTGTCTATTAAAAATTCTATTATTATCGTTTTATTATTTTGTTATATTGTGATGTTTTCTGTTCTGATCTGTATTCTTGTAAGTTTATTATTAGTATTTTGTTTACTTATATTATGTATTTTTATTTTTTTATATTCTTTGTTTTCTGTGCGTGTAATTGCCAAATAAATGTTTTTTCTTTCTTTCTTTCTTTCTTTCTTTCATAAGTTTACCGAAAAATACTTACGACTTTAATAGAAATGAAGTTTGCAAAAATAAAGTATTTTCGTGTACTTTATTATTCTTATAAAGTATAGAGTACAATTACCTTAAATAACGTACAATACTTTATTATAAAGTACGGGTGGCAACCCTATTTGTAAGTGACATTACGTTCGCATCTTTTTCAACGTCCTCGGGTGAGGTATATGAAAAAAATTACAAATATCGGCTCGAAAAAATTTATTACAACACACGTCACAAAACATACATTTGTACAACCATTTCACATTATAATTATACAATATAGTAAATAATGACTATTCAGTTTTAGATCGAGGAATGTTTTATCTCGTCTCAAGGAGCCACAACACCGAATAGATTCTATATTGTGTTGCTAAAGGAAATACGACAGTATTGGTAGGTAATAAATAGATTTGTATTTCGTTTGACGTTATATATTGAATTATAATTGGTTTTGATAGTGCCAATTTTTACGTAGATAACTTATACAATACTAAAATGTCATTAAAGCTTAAATTGCCAAATATGAATGTATAGAAAGACTTAAGTTCATATAAATATAGCATTTTAGCGTTTGGGAATTATAAGTTCTATAAGCACTATGATTCAAAGCAAGAAATTGATTTTATTAATAATTTGACGACTCTGAAATAGCCAATGTAACAGATTGGTGTCGATTTAACATTGGCACGTTATATTAATAAAGTTTCAATATTATAGAAAAAATTTGAAGCCAAATCCATCAGTTTTCAAAATATAATATCATTAATACACTACAATACTTATAAGATACATGAATCACAAGATCCTATAAATATATAAGTTTTCCATGAGTTTTATACATATTCCAAGCCATTGGGATTAAGTTTAATAAATAAATTAATTGTATGATAACAATTTTTGATTCTCACTGAGAGCATGTGCAAGATCTAAAGATTTTATAAAAAAACAAGTGGTGAAATAAAAACTGTTTTGTGTGGAAGACATCTACGTGCATTATACTATTGTTTTCTTTTACAAAATGGTTAGAAATTACTTTCATCGTACGTCTAACAAACATTCTCCAAACGTACACACACAATATCTTAATGTACCAACAAAAACAAAGAGAAACTAAGTTTAACTTGTCAGACATTTTAATTGCTTCTTGTTAAGTAGGTAATGGACATCCAAAAGGCATAACTTAAAAATATAAAATAACTACAAACTACATTGAAGAGAAAAGTAGAAAGTCTATGGATTCAAGGAATATCCTAAAGATTTAAATGCCTAAATTCATTCAATAAATACACTGGTCAGCAAATAAATCGAGCCACCCGCTACCTAGGAACTCTGATTTGATTTTCTAAAAAAGTATAAAACTTACAACTATCAAAGTTAGACCTACAGAAAGTTCGTTTCATGGTGATTAAAATGACTACAAATTAATTCGAAAGTACCGTCAACTCACATGGTAATCAAGCAACAAACACTATACTAATGATTTGCTCTGTTTTCACCAGAGATTGAAATTAGCGTTCTTTTTGTCTGCAATGAGGGTAGTCGGATATTTCCTATCATTTCTTTAGTTTTTCTCCATCGTTTGCTCAGACGCGTGTGTTTTTGCTACTTTTTCCGATTAATAATGGATATAACACCTCAGGAAGCAGCTCAAGCTGTAGCATTACTTCAAGCAGGCATTGCGCAACGTGAAGTCGCTCGAAGGCTTCGAATCAGCAGATCTTCGGTGCAACGAGTTTACAGACGATACCTAGAGACTGGAGTATTCGATCGCCGTCCAGGTACGGGCAGACCTAGGGCTACATCAGCAGCAGATGATCGTTATATCCACCTTACTGTTCTGCGAAATCGCCACCTCAACGCAGTTCAAGTCCAACAAAGTCTGCGTGACGAACGCCAAGTGGTCATAAGTTCAGATACCGTCAGAAGGAGACTTGCTGAACGGAACCTGACCCCAAAAAGAGCTGCAACAGGCCCAGCATTAACGGTAGCACACCGTCGAACACGACTTGAATTTGCTCGAGAGCATAGGGATTGGACATTAGAGCAGTGGAGTAATGTACTCTTCACTGATGAGACCAGGGTGAGTCTACATGGAAGTGATCGACGTCAGAGAGTATATCGTCGCCCTGGAGAACGTTATTCTCAGTGTTGCATCGAGAAAACTGTTGCTTATGGAGGAGGATCTGTAATGGTCTGGGGCGGCATCTCGTTAACAGCACATACAGCGTTAGTTTTCATCGAACCGACGGGCCGTACACGTGGATTGACTTCTCATCGCTACATTACTGAAATCCTCGCAGACCATGTGGTACCTTACGCAGGATATATCGGACAGGATATGCAATTGATGCATGATAATGCACGGCCTCATGTTGCTCATGTGGTGACCCAGTATCTACGCGACGTCAGCATTCGCACGATGGACTGGCCAGCTCGAAGCCCGGACTTGAATCCGATAGAACACTTATGGGATGAGATGAAACGTCGGGTTCGGGGCCGGGTACCTGCTCCAACAAGGCTTCCAGAACTGCGAATCGCAATTGAAGAGGAGTGGAATACAATTCCTCAAGATTTTATTGTCAGGCTCGTAAGGTCGATGAATACAAGGATGCTGGCAGTTATCCGAGCAAGGGGAGGGAATACGGAATATTGCTCAACAACTTTTTTTTATCTTATCTTTGTTTTTGGCTTTAATTTTTTTATTCACTTTATCATTACTAACGATTGTCACTACTGGTAAACGACTCTTCTTTGTAAAATCCTTAATAAACACTGAAATATTGATTAAACCCAATGAGTTTTCTTTCATTTCAATCACCATGAAATACACTTTCTGTACGTACAACTTTGATAATTGTAGGTTTTTTAGTTTTTGAGAAAATCGAATTAGAGTGCCTAGGTAGCGGGTGGCTCGGTTTATTTGCTGTCCAGTGTATTTTTAAAGTCGAGTAACAAGTCTAGCCATGTAAATCTGTCGACACAAAGTTACATAATTAAAACCGCACGCAACTGGTAGGACGCATCAATAAATAGACTATAAACGAATCAAACAACTGGCTTTGTTCGTAACCAAGAAAAGAAAACAATTCGGTAATAATTCTGAAGTATAACAAAAAAAGAAAAATAAGAATTTTCATAAAAAAACGAGATAAAACTGGTTTTTATACAATTAGGTTTCTTTAGTAAGTGACTTATACTAAATTTCATGACCTAGGTGCAGTAACTTTATAATTCGTCCCTGAGGAGAGTGTATCGGTTCTTGGACGGCGCTAGCTTCTTGAACGTGGACTCGGGAGGAGTGGTCACTTTGACATCGAGGTGCATCACGGGCTGGTCTGGGTCGGGACCGTAGTGGAACTCCCTGGAACGAAAAGGAAAACAAATTAATTTCATGTTAACATTATTAACGTGTAAAAAATGCCATTTTCGTTTCACTTAGACTGACATTTCATGGAACCGCTCATAAGACTCACTAAAACCAAAATATAACACAATAAATGGAAAAAAAATCAACAAGTAGAAACTAAGATGTTTCTTGAACAGAATCTGAAATCTTATTCAAACAGGCCCTTATTATACAGTAATAATATTTAAATCTCTCTAAAACAAAAACAGACCAATTTACGAAACAAATTCTACTGCCAGAAACAATGAAAAGTAATGAGATTAACATAGAACTGTGTGAAATGTTGAGGGTCACAGTACAATGAGACGTAAGGCATTTTATCGGCATCTGTACTGTAATGTAGGTAACTTAAACAAGGCTGCACTTCGAGCTATACAGAACCAGTATACACTGACCTTTGAATGTGCCCAAAGACCATATAAAACAACACTATGATATACTGGTTCATGTGGCCGTATGTACATTCTCTTTGCTCTGTATCTACGTCGAGTTCATTGTAAACGATCTATTGTTTTCCTGATTATTGCTGAGATGCTATCATTATACTGGTAAATATGTGACGATGGTTAAGAAGTAGCCACTAGCCTTATGAAGTGGCGATAAATAATCACAAGTCCCGCGAAGTAGCTAGAAAATTTATTTTGTAGCAAAATGTTATTTATGTATTAGAGGTCACAAAATACAAGGTACGGGAATATGTAAAATAGTGAACTTCATTTTATATAAGAAGGGTAGAAGAGAATAGATAAGGAAGAGTGTCTACTATGTAATGATAATGACATCCAATAGTACTCGAGGAAAAATTCGAAAAAATAAACATTACGCCAATCCGTAACTTGTAATATTTAACGTTTACCACATTTATAGCAGTCTCAGAGGCCAGACGGTTTAACTAACTTATTTAAAATCCCCGGACAAGCATTTCTTCCAGTAGGTATAACAATTTACTGAGCGTAGCAAATAATTTTATGACTACGCCTATAACTGATAAGTAACGAGGCTTAGATTAAAATATAGTGCACTCACAATCACAACCACTGCGCTATAGTTAAGCGTAACTATAAAACATTTATGTTTTTAATTAACCGGTTAATAAGAGCGAGGTTTTATGATTTATTCCTCTTCAGAGGAAATCCTCTTCAGTACCTACATACATAAGTAAATGAACTCTCACCTTTGTCAGGGTAGACAGAAACTACAAAACTATACGTCACCTAATATGATCCATACATAGTTCTTTTATTCATATGAAAGTGAAGAGAAATCAGAATCGATGATGGACAATGGAACACTTATACTGTCACTTATATGGACAACTATAATGGACAAATGCTATAGGCAGAGGCCGGAAGAGGGGACAATATTCAATCCGTCAAATAATTTACCATTAATCAATATGGGTGGCGTTATAAGCCGTAGGACTTTAACAAATCTATGTTGGTATACCTTTAACATGTAACTTTAAGTTCTAAACAAAATTTGTGTTAATTGTAACAAGGACAGACTGGTAGAAAAAGTAAATGGCATCATAGTTCGCATATAGATTTTGTGTACATGTACGATGCATTACAATAAATAAAGATAATGGTGGAATAAGATGGAGAAAATATTACAGCGAGTTTCATTTGCAAGTGCATAATTACAACCCGCCAGAAAGATTTCAAGAGCATTTGATGATGCTTGGAATGACTTCACCTTCCCACTTAGGCATTCGCTCAAATTATTCGCGTAGAAATCGAGATATTTTAATTAAAGGCTTAATAAACTAAGTACATAAAAATAGGGTTTATTGATTATTAAAACCCATTAAACACATTTAGGATGAACATCAAATACTGAAAAACTCTATCAATACGTCGTCCATTTATAAAAAAAACTAGCTTTTACCCGCGGCTTCGCTCGCGTCACAAAAGGATAAAAAGTAGCCTATGTGACATATACCCATACACACAGCGCCATCTATACCAAAAAATTCGTTTTCCCTTAAGAATATTAAATGTTTCCGGGATAAAAAGTACCCTATTATTTAATCCAGACTTCTAACTTTACGTCTGCAAAAATTCAAAGTAATCTGTTTAGTAGTTACGGCGTGAAAGCGGAACAAACAAACTCGCTTTCCGATTTATAATATTAGCAAGGATAATACTTTTCATTATCTATGTGACAATTTTTCCTTTATGACGTCAAATGTATTTTATTTGCATTATAAAAAATAACGAGTTTAGCCGGAGAGTCGTATGATAAATTTAATTACGCATGTTTAGTATCTACGAGGTACCTATCTTCAATTATCTAGATGCTTATCGCCAGGCGAGATAGTGAACCACTCAAATACTTCAAAGATGTGAAAGTGTTTGCACATTCGAGTAGAGATATCGGTACTTTCAACTGACTCATTTATTACTAGAGAAATAACTGGGTACACAGAAATTAGAAGTCATCGATTTCCACTTATTATATGAACACCTCATTCATAGATCGGCTTTTATTACTCAACAAAATTTTATAAAATCGAGTCATTTTCATTCAGTATTGAACTACTTGACACGTAATTTCAACCACATTCATACTACGTCTACAAGATAAGGCTTAGAACTTATGAAAAGTGGGAGTTAACATCGATTTTAAAACGACAGAATTAACAACACTGCCTCGTTGGCCGAGTGGTCGCAAGTGCGACTGCCGGGCAAGGGGTCTCGGGTTCGATTTCCGGGTCGGGTAAAGTATTACTGGGTTTTAAAAAATCTCAGTATCAGCACGGAGTCTGGAATTGTGTATATGTCAATAGGCTTACACCCTATCAGGTACGTGGGACTCATAACATAAATAGTGAAAAGTGGCTGTTACATTGTACAGTGGCAATAAGTGCCGTAATGTGCACCTCTGCTATCCCTTCGGGGATAAAAGGCGCGATGTTATGTTATGTAGAATTACCAAGACAATGTTGTGAATTGATTTCGAATTTTCAATTTATTTCTTACTAAGTTCTGCCGTTATTGTGATTGTGTACGCCCCTTAAACGGAGTTAAAACACGGGATGATTTACGTATATGTCTCGTTTGTGGAACTGATTTACATTAACTGATCCAATTTACGTGGTATATTGATTTATACTCATGAAGACTGTTGGTTATATTGGATAGATACCCAGTTATTTTAATTGCAAACACAATATATTTTACAGAGCTATATATTGCTGAACTGTCCATTAAGTAAGTACAATTAACATTTTTGCAAAGACAAATAGCTGTTTATAAATAGAATTTATTAATGTAAAAAATCTGTGCTAATATATAAAGCTGAAGAGTTTTTTGCTTGTTTAACGCTTTTGCACGCTAATATTCGGGACTGCAGGTCCGATTTCAATAATTCATTTTAGGTTGGATAGTGCAATATAGTTGTATAAAACAGCACGCTACAATTATAGGAGCCGAGCAGAACGGATGAAGCAGCGTGGGAGTACCGAGTTTATAATTAAAAATCTTCATATTTGAAAACATTACATAATGTCTCACATTATAATCCCCGAAATAGTCGGCAAAACGCACAGATGATATAAATGAAACAGTCACCTTTCTCCACTTGATGTATTTATAAACTAGAGAATCCAAATAAAGTTTCAAGGTCATCAGAATACGACTTTCTTTTATGTAAATACTTAAAACAGCGACGGAATTATGAACCTTATCATTCACGTCTTATGCTAATTATTTAGATAAACACATTTTTTGTCGTTTACTTTGTCCTATTATATTTAAAAATAAAAAACTACAATTCTACGTAACCAATAGAAAACAGATCAGAGGACTCAGTATAAGTTTGTTTCGGGTTTAACGAGATCGAAATGGGACCGCGTTCAGTGTTCTAATTGGCTGGTTCCAATGAACCAACTAATCAGAGCGCTCAACACGGTCTCAGGGAATTAATCAATAAGAACGTATCACTGGAAGTAATACAAAAATATAACTAAAAAATGTGACTATTTCTTATATTGTTGTCCAAACATGTCCAATAGAATTAGATGTAATTCTAATAGCTTTTGAAATGGAAGACTGTAGTGTGCAAAATAATATCTATTGTTTCATTCTTCCGAGTATGGGAAAACGAAATTCCAGATTTTTTTTCATGGCATTAACCAATCGGCACCGCCCATGGACACCCGAAACACCAGAGGCGTTACAAGTGCGCTGCCGGCCTATTGGGCATTACGAATTTGAGGATTGTTGAAGATTGGGGAGTGTGGGCAATTGGGCATTGAATTTGATTGTTTACCACCCAATTTAGTTAGAGTAACATGCTAAGAAAGGAACATTCAACAAAGACAGAACAGTTTATATACCTGTGCAATTTTCCTGAGTATAGATCCAGTAGGAACTGCTTTAGTCTGCCAGGCTTCTCCATTTCCTTGTAGTCAGGGAACATGTACATGTGTCTGAAAGAGTCGATGGCGATCAATGGGAGGTCTGAGATGGACTTGCCCAAGTGATGTAGCGGGTGCTCAAATCGTACACCATCGGCCGTTAGGAAGTTCACGTTTTCTGTAATTTAGACATCATCGTTTTATTCAAAGAAAGTAAGCTGTAGGATTCCCACATGTAAATAAATAGTTTAACATTTGTTTACACAAGTGTGCTGTTATAGTTATAATATTATACTCAGTTCATCGACATTAAGAGGACACAAATGTTGCAATCTTTACAAAACAGGCATTGAAACCTGCTGTATACACTAAAAGCTTGAATATGGTTTATTTAATATTGTAATGGCCTTCACTGTGGTACTATAAATTCAATTGAAATAGAAAGGATTTATTAATTTCCATCAACAATAATGGAAAACTATAGTATACACACTAAGAAATTTCTGTAAGGGAAAATGTTAATTTGGACAACTAATTCTACAATGACTTACGTTTCTCTCCTTCTAATTCATTCTGAATGACTTCCTTGTATTTCTTGACACTTTCATTATCGTTAGGATGGTGGAACAGGATCAGGAACGGCAATCCTTCCTCCGTAAGTTCTTCAGCGTTCTCGAATGTGATCTCTCGGACCAATGGGATACATTTCTCCTGAGCCCACTTGTAAAAGTCTTCGAAACTTAACAAAGAGCCAGTAAATGTTTCATCTGGATCCGTAGACTTCTTCCGGTCGGCTCTGAACACTGCTAGTGGTTGACCTAGAAAGGATTTAATACAGGAATGATGATACAAAATTAAATTTAGTATTTAACAAAATTCAGTTTAGTTTGTCGGCTTTGATAATAATAAAAACATTAAAAATATTCTATTTGGTTTATCATATTGGATATAATGTTTGAGAAATATATGGATAAAGCACACTATGATTAGGGATTTATAACACTAAATGTATATTTCTAACATAATTGTTATAAAACATGAATAAATCTATCTTATTTGTGTTAATTCAAATACCTGGAGGATGCATCTGCTGTGAAGCATCACCAAATCCAACATGGAACTGGCATTCTTCTTTAAGATTAGCAGCCACCTTCCGGAATGTGTCATACTCCGGCTGGTCTCGTCTGTCCATGTATCCAATGATGTGTCTTTTATCTTCACTGAGGTTATGCAACTCTTTAAGAGCGCCAAATGTAACCACTGGGTCGGTTAGTTGTTTCTTTATGAACTCTGCAAATGCCTCTACTGATCTTTGGCCTAAAATTAAGTAGAAATGTTAGTTTATCATTTTGTTTACATTTACAATACTAATTGTCCAAATGAGATAATTATGAATTTTATTGTCAAATTGGTTCTCAACTAGTAGCAGTAAAACAACCAAATCAGTATTGCTGTTACTCCTTATTAAGTCTTGAATTTTTAACATCTATACTACAAAAAACCTTACCTCTGTATTCTTTCTTAGCAGCGACTCCATTCCGGAACATTTTCAGTGTAGGATATTTAGTGATATGGAACCTGGTTGCCACTGCACCTTCTTTGTCACAATCCACTTTACCCATCACCACTTTGCCTGTATCGTAGCCTGCTTTTGTCACTTCGTCAGCAGCCTCGTCAAATATAGGCATCAGCATATTACTGAATTTGCACCATTCAGCATAAAAATTAATAAATACTATTTCATTGGAAGCTGAAATTTCAAACAATGTTAATGATGCATAAAATCAATTGTAGCTTGATAAAGAAAATTAATTAACTATTTTATAATAGATGATTTTCACTATGTACTTCTAATGCTAAACATTTTTTCTTATACCTCACAAGAAGGAACGATAATTGGTAAAATATTATTTGTGGAAATAATGAATATCTGTGTTTATGTTCTGATGTTATATGTATGTTTATGTGATAATGTGTAAAAATAATCACTTTTTTTACTAAATGAAGATCTAGTTTAATAGATATAAAATTAGGTATATGACATTGACCTGATAACAAACTAACAACATACAATTTTTGTTGTTTGTTTACTAGACAAAGTTTATCTAATTAAGCCTGATGATGTGGCTTCCACCTTCAGTACCTCGGTGAAGTTAAACACAAATAAGATTCCAATGAGTTTCCATCAATGTGTTAAATATCAAATAAACATATATTTAATTGAGGTAAATAAATTATTTATTCTAATTTTATTTATGACTATCACAATCATAATATGTACATACAAGGACTAGTACTGTCATTAAACACATAATAAAATAGAGCTATACTTGTATGTTTATGTGCGTTTAGCATAGGTAGGGTAAAACGAAACAAATAGTTTATTGTTTTGTTCCTTCGCAATGAGAAAGTAAAACAAAAAGCTTCTAGAAAACGTGGAGAAGGCATGAACTCACCTAATATCATATCCAAATTACTTTGTGTAATTTGCACAGCACCGCTATCGGTAGGGTTGTAAAAACTATGGCATATCTGAAACATAACAATCCTCAGAAATTATGCAGCAATTACTTATTCATAATAGACCATAAAATCAACAATCCATTAGAACACTTTTGCGGAAAAGATTTCCGGACATTTTGACATTCCAAATGCTTACCAGAAAAATAACACAGATCAGGGATTTGTAATTATACAAGTTAAATGCATTCCAATTCATTTTGAAATGTTAAATAAATCACTTTTTCTGCCGAAGTGAAATTATTACTGCCGCTACCGCTGCTGGTGTTGGCTGGCACTTGGCAGTTGGCTAACAGCAGTGGCAGTTCTCATTGGCAGTTGGCAACTTGGCACTCTGGTAGTCAACAGATAAAAAATAATACTGATATCTTCGCCTTGTCCACAATATCTTTACTATTTAAAGTAAAAATCTGATTGGATTACTTTGTATCTTTTTATATATAGAAAAATAGTTCGATTTAGAATCTAAACTCTACAAACAAGTCCTAGCATAACATAAGTGATACAAAATTAACTCGTCGAGTACCGGTTTTGTAGACACAATAAAATTATAGAACAATAGGTTGCGGTCACCGGTGACCGCTTGGTGTTTGACAGTTTAAATGACATTCTTGAAATTCGGAAAAAACCGTTTTTCTCTTTTTTTTAGTGATATTACAATGAACAAGAACTCGACTAAAATAATCGATTAGAAAATGTTTTTGATAAATGTCTAAAACCCGCGGTTTTGTATTATATTTTACTCTAACACAAATATAAACGATATTTGTGAGTTACATTTTATTTAACTTGCACTGGGATATCTGAAGCAATGGTTTCGTGCCCGATGGGTGACAATGAGGTCGTGCCCCAAAGAGTATAGTAATATATAGGGTAAAGAGAGCCCTCTCTGGGCAATTTAAAGCAAACCTCTTTGAACGCCAGCGACATCTGAACATTGGCCCTGGAAACTATGCCCGGCTTACAACTTGAATACTACCTACTTATTAGTTTATTAATTTGAAAGTATATTATGTTCTAGCAGCTACATTGCTACAACATAATATACTTACAAATTAACAAACTAATTTTGCCCTAATATTTAACAGATTTACTAAAAACTTAAGGAGTAATAATTAAAACAATAGGGTGGAAAAATAAAACAATAGATGAATGGGAATGAGGTCATGCCCGATGGGTGGGAATGAGATCGTGCCCGATGGGTGGCAATGAGGTCGTGCCCGATGATTGGCAATCAAGTCGTGCTCGATGGATGGGAATGAGGTCGTGCCCGATGGGTGGCAATGAGGTCGTGTCCGATGGGTGGCAATGAGGTCGTGCCCGATGATTGGCAATGAAGTCGGGCTCGATGGATGGGAATGAGGTCGTGCCCGATGGATGGGAATGAGATCGTGCCCGATGGATGGGAATGAGGTCGTGCCCGATGGGTGGGAATGAGGTCGTGCCCGATGGCTGGGAATGAGGTCGTGCCCGATGGGTGGCAATGAGGTCGTGCCCGATGGATGAGAATGAGGTCGTACCCGATGGATGGGCATGAGATCGAGCCCGATGGATGGGAATGAGGTCGTGCCCGATGGGTGGGAATGAGGTCGCGCCCAATGGCAATGAGGTCGTGCCCGATGGGTGGCAATTAGGTGTGTCCGATGGGAGGGAATGAGGTCGTGCCCGATGGGTGGCAATTAGGTGTCCGATGGGTGGGACTGAGGTCGTGCCCGATGGGTGGGAATGAGGTCGTGCTCGATGGGTGACAATGAGGTCGTGTCCGAAGCGTGATATTGGGCTTGAGCCCAATAATGGCAGCAATCTCTCCTATATACAAATGTATCTTGCGGGTAGCAATGACTTTGGCTCCTACTCCATTACATAGGACTTTAAAACATAACTGGCGGGAGTGAATTGTATAATTGGTTATTCTCATATGTAAGACATAACTTTAGGCATCCCACTACTTATAACATTATTAATATACAGTTAGATATCAAAGAAAACATTTATGTGAAAAATACGCATTTATTCGTAAAAAAAATCAGCTTTATTCCACAATGGGAATATTTAATATAAAAATACATAAAAGAGTAAAGCACATAATTGGACGGATTATGTTACAAATGATAAAAAAATAGTAAGAACTGAGATTCACACAATAGTTACATTTAACATTATTTTAGTACTTTTCAGTGCCATCAATAAGTCTCATAATAAGATTTCTATAATGAATAGAATTTCTTATATTTTGTTAACTAAATTGATAAAAACGTAATAGCATTCTATGTCTACAGTTATTAAATATATGAATTCTATAATAGTAATTAAATTGCAAATGTAAAATGTAATTTTGTACCAAAACAGGTACCTATCACTGAGGTATAAAAATCCTACTTTATAACTACACAAAATAGTTAATTTGTTAACAAAATGGAAAATGAATACCTATTATAACTTTTTGATTAATTAAGTAACTGAGGATATTTGTGCTGCATCATTCATATTGAGGTTCAATATGAATAATACAATTATAGTTTTTTTGATATTCCATTCACTTATTTCAAAATTCCTAACAATATATTTATATCTTCGTTTCATACTGGGTCATAATGTAAAATACTAATACAATAACAATAAGATAATACAATAAGAATTCAGATTTCTATAAAATATTCTTCAATAGGAATAATCCCAATCCTAGTCCTAATAAGACGGAAACTGGTTTTACAGCATCACTTCCACTCTGAAAACAAACAATAAATTTCAATTAGTAAAGTAATGCATATTTGTTATCTGTGGACTAAAACTAAGTACTTGGATGATCTCCAATGAAATGAAACATCATATTACAATTAAAACAATTTTGTTGTCACCTATTTAGAAGGCAGGAAGCAAACAATGAGTACTGGCAAACAATTAGCTCTGGATATGGACACATGAGACACCAGAGGGGGAACAAATGTGTTCCTGGCCTTTTAAGAATGGGTACAATAATATGATTAGTTGATATTCTAAGAATCAACTTAAAAATCATAAAGAGAATGAGTTCTAGTTTGTCACCAGTGAATTAGAATGAAGTGTGCTGACATTACCAGTACCAGTTTTGAAGACTTGAGTATTTCAACAAGTAGACAAGATTATTGACAAGGGAGCTGTGAAATCACCTTATTTTATATATTAGAAAGAATTAAGGTTTGAGTACTTACTATGATATAGTAGTTGCATCTATCACCAAGACAGCAATCTGAACACACCCAGTCTTGATACCAAATGTGTGTACACAGGGGCATATACCGGTGTCTAGTGGTCGCACACTCTGTCTTATTAGAACACCGCTTCGACACATAGTACTGTTTTTTTGCTCCTTGAGACCAGTAAGGTGTACTTCCCCACTTAATTTCAGTCAAACAAACATCCTGATTATACTCGCAATTCTTAATAGTTTTCACGCATTTCTCATTATTATCCTCTTGGTTTTCACAGACATAACACTCCAGACCTAGAACTATTTATAAAATTAGTTAAAAACCGTTAATAAAAAGAAATTCCGTTGCACTAACAAAATAAAGTGTTTGGTTACCATTTATGACTGAAAAAAGAAAAACAAGACAACCAAGAAAACAGTGCTTGTACATTTTGATATTTTAATGACTTTCCGTTTGAAAATAAGGCACTTATTTAATAAATTGTTATGCATGAATGATTTTAATTTATTTGTATACGATCAAACAACGATCAACGACCATTCATTTCAGCTTGTTGCCACACCCAGGGTTACCAACTCCTAAAACCATTTACCCCTAACACCAAGATGAAATCTCCCTAAATTACCCTAAATGCAATATTTAATACCCCCAAAAAAAGCCCCATATATTTTTTGTAACTATTCAAGGCTAAGCAACAATGATACTAGCGCCTTCAATTTTCATATTGATTGTGACGATCATGAATGTTAGTTAAAAAAGCACTTCTAAAGAATTTTTGTTTAGTAACAATGCTTATTTGTTACACATGTGACACGACCAATTTTCACAATTTTTAAGTATGTGACCATTTTTAGCAATTTATTATGGAAAATATATAATAATGTTCAAGTAAACATAGAAGTACTTTTTTTAAAACTCGTAATCTCTACAGTCAATATAAATCATGTGGCGGCGCTAGTTTACCCTAGGTGAGTTTTCCGATTAATTAAGGTAAATAAAACATAACTTTATGTATTTGAATATTTTTTTTTATTTACTAACCATCGACATTATCAATTATTGTGAACAAATCACTCAAATCTTAACTTTCATTTGAATGATCGTTCTTGAAGTCATACATTTTGGGATTTCAAGGGAACAGTCACCGCGTTAACGTAACCACTTTTTTCTTGGTCTGTGGTAACCACCATAGATTTTTTTAATTTAGTTCTTCCATGGGCATAAAGTAGGACTATGATCAAAAGGCATTTCAGTGACATTGATAGGGGGCGTTGTTCGATCGAAAATTGTCAAAATTGCTGTCACTTGTATAGGAAACAGCATTAGTTCAGATTTTTGCCACCCACCCACCCAATTATTTACGCCCCTAAAAAAAGTCCCCAAATTAATTAGGGCCCTAAAAAAGTCCCACTAAGCATAATTAGTCCCTAAATTTAGGGTTAAAAGCCCTAAGTTGGGAAGCCTGGCCACACCCGCCTTTGACATTCGTTTGTGGTGTTGCCATATTATTATTATAGGCCACGGACACAACTATTGAGTTTGTTGAACTTGATCTTGAAGTAGAGGATGTCAATGGTTTGACTTGATGATATGCCTGAAAATTTTGAGATACTTGATCCTTGTGTACATAGAGGTTGTATGTAACTGACTTTATTATTTCACTTTACAAAGTACTTTTTATTTTCTAGAATTAATAATAACTATTATACAATTAAATATATACAATACAAGATAAAAATTAATATATACACCTTAATAAAATAATAATAATAAAAATAAATCATAAGGCATCAAAGAAAACATTTTCCTCATCGCTACCGTGAGGTAGGGTGCCCAAAAGACTGGCAGCATTGCCACGTTGAATGGCAATGCTTAACCTTTGCCCAAGGTAGTAGCCAGCCCTTCGATCACCTGAAGTGTCAACCATCCTCCTTACAATATCTTTGTAAAGAAGATGTGCACTTGGGCCCCACGGCCCTAAAGTTTCAACCCCAAACGGTTCGAAAGCATAATTGCCAATCAGGCTATTATACTTTCGCCGTTTGAGGTTCTCGGCAGCAGCAGCGGCAGCACCGGCTCGACACGCTGAGCTTGGAAGATGGGATGGCGCCAGAGTATCAACGCAAGTGGCGTCCCATACTAAAGCCCTACCCATCTTCCAAGGGAATAATGACATACCGTCGGGTCTCTTGCCATCGTCGCGTACCAAGCCATTAGGTTCTAAAGTAGCTGGCACGCCAACGGAGGCAAGAGCTCGACGAATTATGTCATTAATACTTGCGTGTCGACCAAAACGGCCCGCACTACGGCTACATGACAATCCGTGGTGTCCAAGGCTGTTGACATCTTCACCACAACGACAACGATGAGGTGAACAAAATGAAGCTCCAAGCCTTAAACAAATATTTATTATTTAATCAAGCAAGCCAGTCTGTAAAGAGGTCTCTTGATCTTCACTTTTTTCAATCCATAGAGGCAGTAGAGCATTTCAAATCTAAACGTCACACTGACAGTACTACACAACATTTAATTTTGACATTTGCTATCCAACAAGACGAAAATTCCAATTTGTTTCTGACGAAAAGTAAATATAAATAAATTAAGAAAAACATAGTTGAAACGATAAATTTGAAATGGAAGGAATTCTCTGGAAGTGGACTAATTACTGGAACGGTAATATACAATTTTAGTGTAGTAAATAAAATATTTGGAGGTTTAAGTCCTTTTCATTAAAATATAAACGAATGTTTTCGTTCCAGGATGGCAAACCAGATGGTTTGTTTTGGAAAATGGTATTATTTCGTATTATAAATCTCAAGAGGAAGTCAGCCAAGGGTGCAAAGGGTCTGTGAAAGTTTCGGTGTGTCAAATCAATGGTAAGTTACATTTTCCGTGATAATGATGTGGTCTGTGAAATTTAATAACATTTGGTCTGAAACTATGTGTTCATGACGTTGGCTTTCCCATGACGTTGGCTTACCAATAACATACGCCAGTTATTAATTATTAATTTGTAACTGCTATAGTGAAAGTTGTATTGGTTAGGTAAGAGAGTTTAATCCAACATGTATGTCATAGATTACGACATAGTTATACTGAATGTACTCCTTATATGGTAACATAACTATAATATAAGCTACGTCATTTTCAAATTATATAGGACTCAAGAATATCACAGTTCCTCAAAACTAGATTAAAACTAGGTATTTCAATATCAATATAATTTATATTTCAGTTAATGCAATGGACAACACAAGACTTGATCTAGTTATACCAGGACAGCAACACATGTACTTGAGAGCACCCTCTCCACAGGACAGGCAGAAATGGCTGGTTGCACTAGGAAGTGCTAAAGCATGCGTTGACTCAAAAGATCTGAAAGGTATAAATAGTAAAATTATTGGTTTTGACCTTTCTAGAATAAAGTATGTATCACTGAAAGAAAAGCAATGCAGAGTAATCATAATTTATTATCTTTAATTTTTATGGGCTTATCCCATGGGTCAAATAATGTGATGGATGACCTGATGGTAAGTTATAAGCTATGGCAGTTACAGATGTTTGTAATATACTAACTTCTTCTATGCGGCTATATCTGCTCTACTCTTATTGATCAAAATATGATATAATAGCCTTTCTCGATAAATGCACTATTCAACACAAAAATAAAACTATTGAAATCAGACCAATCATTCCAAAGAATACTGTGTTCAAGCAAACAAATAAACTGTAGCTGTATACCAATATTCAATATATATAATTATGATCCTGACTGATACAGACGCAACTACTGCCCCTTTTAGTATACCTTAGGGTAAAAACTCAGCGTCTTCAACAGTGACTCGAGTGAATAGGTTGCTTATTGGACAACATGCTCGTTTCTAGACCGCATCATCGCATACCATCAGGCGATATAGTAGTCAAGTGTCGGTCCTTCAAATATAAAAAAAACCTTTATCTATAATTTAATAACTCTGGTTCTATTTGTTATTGAGTACAAGGTAAAGTATTATTCTACAATTTTTAGCCTAGTAAAACACTACTCAATATTCTCGTAATTTCATTAATAAATGCTGATATAATTTATTACTAAACCAATTAAAACTTAATTACTTTGTTTAAATTCAATGGAACATTTAAAGATAAGATTAGATGCAGTTTTTTGAGTTTAAAATTGTTTTTTTTTGTATTTCCAGCTGCGTCATTAGAAGATACAAACTCATTAGGTCATAAGAAATCTGAGTTACGTTTATATTGTGATCTGATGATGCAACAAGTGCATGCAGTGAAGAGTGCAGCTACTGCTGAAGGTGGTCCTGAGACACAGGTAAATATTATGATTTTGACAAGATTATAGTAGTATTATAAAGAAAATAACAACAAATACTACTAAAAGTAATGTTAAACCATATGCACCCCATGTATAGTCAATTTACTATTTAACCCGGCGAGGATGTGGTGAAAATAGTAACGTGGAGGTTGTGGAGGGTCTTATTGACCCTGTATATAATTGGCTTTAAAACACCTAAATTTATATTAATATTCCAAATATCAATCAATATTATTTATGTTACATGTTATTTTTACGGTTTTATCGAAATAAAACGCAGATAAGAGTACAAAATAATATAATTAAATCACTTTTAACAAAGTACTACAAAATAATCAACTTTTACATAAACTTTCTAAACTTACACTAAAAACAACAAAAAGGAACTTCCTTCTTAGACGATTAACTTTTAATTTGGTACATACGTAAAGGTAAATTAGTTGCACTTACAATCTTATCATCAAATTATGAATTACAAATCATTATTGTCTATGATTGCAACACAACCTCGGCAGGATGAAATAGTGTGTTCTGGACAAATATACGTATAGCAATCTTCACAAATATTGGCTGTCTTGCGATGGCGGGCATAAGGACATACTTGGCACCTTTTTCGTACACCTGGAACCCTAACAGGACCTTCTTGTTCAGGTTCTCCGATGAATTCTCTGAGTCTCTTGCGTAGCTGTCTCGGCAAATGAGGTGGTGTGATGATCTTCCTTTTCGCTACCGTCGGATAACTAGTCATCTTCACTGTCAGACTGCATTAAAACAAGACGTATGCGTTCATCCTCAAGCTCCGGGCTATTCATTGTGTACGAAAAAACCTAAAACTAAGTAAAAAATATAATTGAAACCATACATAAAAATGTTACATCGCGGTTGTCGCAGGGTCATATTTACCCTATTTGACTGCACGCACGTGTTGCTCCCGTCGCAGGCGGCGGCCATCTGAACAGGGGTGCGGGGCGTGCGCGCCGGTCCTTTAGCAATAGCTATTGTGACGTTCAAAACTCTTCGATCGCAGAATAAAAAACTACACACGATTAAAAATTGACAGGGTCAAAATGACCCCTCCACATCCTCGAAGGGTTAAATTCTATTCACCCCATTTTATGGGAAGATGTTAAATATGTGGGCTTATGTCAACCAGTGTATATTTGATTGCCTCTTTAATGTCACAGTCATGAGGAAAAGATATAAACTTATTAGTTTTCTACTATCAACTAAACAGGAAGATAGTTAAGTAACATGACATAATACTATTTATACAATATTCATTCATATTGGTAAACATTGTCTCGTAGGCCGAGTGTTCGCAAGAGCAGCTGCCGGGCATAGGGTCCCGGGTTCAATTCCCGGGTCGGGCAAAGTATTACTGGATTTTTTAAAACAAATGTCAGTAGTAGCACACTGTCTGGAATTGTGCCCGATATGTGGCGTAAGGCTCACCCCCTATTACATGGGACTCATAAAATTAGTGAAAAGTGGGTGTTACATTGTACAGTGGCATTAAGTGCGGTATGTGGACTTCTGCCTACCCCTTCAGGGTTAAAAAGTATGATGTTATGATGATGTCAAATCAAATACTATAACAAAAAATTGTACTTATATTCTAAATACAATTATTTTGCTAGATAAAAAGCTTTGTTTTCATTAAGGAAATGGTTTTATCTTCCATGATAACTTGACTGTAGGTACATAGTTAAAATCATTGTAAAAATGTAATGATATTTTTTCAGAAAATTGAAGATGCTTCAAGTCTACTCACTGCAACATGTGATACTTTCATAAGAACATTAGAAGATATAATGAGATTAACGTCAAACGCAGGACAAAATGCTGCAACTTTTGAGATGCCAATACCAAATATTAAAAATAACAGTTCCAATAAGACTCCTAGGCAAAGTATAAGTCGGACGTTGTCCCAAGAAAACAGATGAAATCTTCCTATTTATTTATTTTTATAACTATAATAAATTCCTATAAAATATCTTAATATGTATGTAATATATTCATGTTTGTAATCCTGGTGATACAGCTTTTGCTTTGATATACCAAAAAAAAGAAAAATATCAACCTAGTGCTAATATGGCATCCATATTGCACAGGTCTTGTTTATATAACTTTGTGTTGAAATTTTTGTTTATAGTTTATTTTGTTATCTGTCATAAATCCATGGTTTATTTAAAATTAAAACTACAAGTAATGTAATGGAATTGTATTTGTATTGTAACACTGGAAGATAAAACATATCTATGATATAAAACTCCGTACTTAATTGTTTCACAATGTATCTCAATTAAAAATGGCTAATTGAATGTTTAGCCTAGTACTTGAAACACACCACTATAACGAAATGTTGTTTATTGTACTTATACCTATTGTATCAAGCTTGCATAATAATGTATTCCTGTGATATAAGTATAGCAGCTGTTTGTCACATAGTTATATCAAATGTGGCTATCCTATCATAATAAATAATAATGCTCTTAAAATTAAATTTTTATCATGCCAATGAATTTCTATATTTACTTGTTTTATGTAAATGTAAAATTAATATTTGTAGTATGGATTAGTGTAAAAAGAGACTCATTGAATTATATTGTTATTATAGGTAAAAGTAATATTAATACCAGGTGAAAATTGAGGAACTGATTATGACATTCCAACTATTAATGTTTTAATTGTTTTGTACCAAAAATGTTGCAACAAAATTTTACTTTTACAAATGTTTAGAAAACGATACAAAAATGTATTTGTTATGATTACAAACTGCAACTTTTAAACAATAGTGATGTATATTAAAAATAAAAAAGTAGAAACTTAATTGTGTTTATTAAAACCAAGAATACAAGGTGAACTTAACTACCATGACGGTTCTCCAAATCTTGAAACTGTCTTTTCCTGAGCATCTAATTCGATTCCAGTCTTCTTTCTCATATAGAAAATCGTGCAATCTCTGTTAGTGCAGAGAACCTCCTCATGAAGACTGCCCTGACATCTTTGACATTCAGTCCAAAGCCTGGAAAACTTTTCTTGAAGCTGTCTCAGTTTAAATATTTCTGAAATATAAATCTGTCTCTCTTTGTGTAAGCAGTGGTTGCACAAAGCTTTCACAGTATCACTAGGCATAACAGTCTTACAACCAATACATTTCTCCTTTTTCTTTGTGAAGGCAGCTAAAGCACCAACTTTAGACGTTACCATTGCTTTGGTTCTAGTATGCTCTCCTTTCAAAAGAAGCGATTCAGCTTTTTCGCCTAAAATTGGTTCAAAAATCCTGAGTAGTGGTTTAGATAGCTGGTTTTCCATATAATAACTGAAATCAATTGGGACACTATTTTCTAGTACATAAATAGGATCTTCAGCTTTCATGTAGGCAGGTGTATTTTTAGTAGCACAACATATAACATAAGGGACTCTGTCTCCAAGTTTGGGAGCAGTACCAGCATCTCTTTTCTTCATTTTATTGGCTAATTCTACATGAGCCTGTTTTGCAGCATAGTCATTTTTCGTAAGCTCCTTTGTTATGACAAGTTGGGATATATCTATGCGGTTACATAACAAATCCGATATTATTTGTTTAGCATAATTTACAGCACCATCTGGATCTCTATCAATAAGTAACTTTTGAAGGCATGTGCTCATCATGTTGGAAACTAAAGGGCAGTTGTCTCTTCTCACTGTTTCTATACCTTTGCAATCCATTTTATCATATTTATCTGGTTTAGTGAAATATAGACCAGCATATCTCTTCTTGTTAATCAGTAAGTATGGGTAATATACTTTTTCAAATTCTAGTTTGATTGGCTTCACAAACTTTTCTGTAACAAAATCAGCAGCTTCTCTACCTAGTTCCATACTTTCCTCAAGAGTTTTTACACCAAACTTTACCATCACAGAATCAGTATCACCATAAATAACTACTGCATCTTCCTTATACCCATTTGCTTTTGTATATTTCTTTTCTACTTCTGACTTAGTGAATTCTATCATTGTTCTTCCATAAGCAGTTACACTACCTGATATTTCTAAACAAGGAAGCTTGCCAACTTGTGCTCCTGTGAACCCATACACAGAGTTAGCACTTATTTTTAAAGCTAGTTGCCTGCCATCAAGAACAGATCTTTTGAATGGATCCTTTTCATTCTTCAAATCTGCCTTTGCCTTCTTCCTAGCAGCAAGCAGTGATTCCAAAATTTCAGGTAAAAGACCTTTCCTAACACTCGATTTCACAAACATGTTTTTAGAAGGTGTCACAGTAACATCATTTTCACTCAAATTAATTTTATTTTGCATACTAGGTTGGACCAATGTGGTGTAACATAAATTGTGTGCCATCATTATACTGGGATACAGAGATGCAAAATCCAATGTGGATATAGGATCTGCATAATATCCTTTTTTTGGTTCTATTACAGTGGCTCCTTCAAATTGTTCGTCCGAACCCTGTCCATGATAAGCAGGCATTAAGTAGCCTGCTTCCTTAGCTTTCCTCAGTAATTGACTGACTACCTTAATTTGTTGACCTCTAGTGAGCAGACAGAGTAAAGGAACACCAGTTACTCTGGCCATTTCCATATAATTTATAATACACATCAACTTATTCAGGAGCTTTAGAGGTAAGTATGCATCTTTCAGACAGTACATGGCCAATCTCCTTCTAGTTTGCTCACTTTCATTTTGAAGGTCTCCAATGATACTATGATGAACATCCTCTTTTTGTTCTTGGAGAAAATGATAACTGACAGCATTCAAGGTATATGATCTGAGTTTATAATCTCTCACCAAAACAAGCAATAAGTCAAATGGAACTCTGCCTTCAAAGTTAATACTTTTGTTTTCTCTGCGACCCATTTGTTTAGATTGCAAAACAGAATCTTTTATTACAGATCTGATATTTCGAATGCGTCCCAAAAAGTCAAAGTTGTCGACTTTTAAATGTTTTGCCCTGTTTATTAGGTATGGCCAATCAAAGTTATTTATATTATAGCCAGTAATTATATCTGGGTCAAGTTCACGGAAGAAATCAGACCATTTGGCAAGCATTTCAGATTCTGATTGAAAGCTTAGTACTTGTGACCCTACTATGGGTGCACAAGTATTCAATGTGAAAACATTTCTTACATAAGGCTCAGGGTCCCCTTGCCTGATTACCATTGAAGCAATTTGGATAACAGGATCATGTTGTGGTTCAGGAAAAACACCTTTGCGACCAGCACATTCAATATCAAAACTCAATATTCTGAAAGGTGCAACTTTAGACCACTCTCCTTCTGGCTGATGGGCTATAAAAGCATTCCATGCTACATCTACTTCGATTTGACATCTAGACTCGGGCTTTACTTGTGAATCTTTTGATCTCAGAAACCATTTGTTCACTGGCAATTCAATCCAACTACAACCAACTACTGATGTGTCAACCATGAATCGAATATCAAAATCAATATTACTCTCAAAAAATAAAGGATCCATTAAACCAAATGATGTTGGTTGTCTTTCCATTAGTCTTTTAGCAGCTGCTATCAGCTTGGGTAAAGCAACAGACACTCTGGCAAAGGTGATATCTTTATCTCCTTGATAGTACATAAGAGATCTAGCTTTCACTAAACGCACTTCCAGTGCAGTTTCCTTAATATTATCCTTGTTAGATCGCAAATCCTCCAGTATAGCCTTATTTAGCATATGTTTTAAGTGATTACATGATGATTCAGTAAAATTAATAGGCACTGTTACATAAAAATATGGAGTAAATCCATGAACATGACAACAAACCGAATTTCCATCCATAGTGATACCATACATTCGCATAATTGGAACAGGAGCAAGCTGCGACCCAGGCATACCTGGCATTGGTTGTCCATTGTAGTGATCAATGTCTATCTGTTGAAAGACTAATGTATCTTTCTTAGGATCCATTGTTGGAGGTGGTGGTCGTGACCACTTAATGTTGGAAGATTGATTTTCAGGGCCTTCACCAAATACTTCTTGCGATTCAAAATCCGTTTCCATACAAGCAAGTTGCTCTTCAAAACTACATGGCACTTCGTTATCTTCGTCATCGTCACCTGATTTTAATCTCTTTGGAGGCGGTGCCTTACTGTATTGCCTCTTTTTATCCATTATTTATGCTTTGTGTTGCACTATGCAGTTTTTATTAGATAAAGTGAAAACGGTTCCCGCCAAAATCTGTAAACTGAAAGGTTACCGTTAGTCTTATAGGAAATACCTATTCTATAAATACTAGAATATAATAATAAAGTTGTATACTCACTTTCAACTGAACAATTTTATTCACAACAAATTATTTCCACTATTGCTGTTGCATTTATTTATTTAATTAAACCGTTTTCGTACGGGATTTCGTAATCGCGGCGAAAATGCATACACCGGCTAACGTCAAATGTCTATGTCTAAATTCACTGTCACTGTCAGCTGTCGACCGAATGGTTTCACAATGACATAAGACAACAGCTGTCAATAATTTGTTATTGTTGCTAGACTATAAATTTTTGTAAAAGAACCGCGTCCTTTTTTGGTAGCAGATTATCATTATTTGTAATTTGTAAGGACTTGTTCTACAGAACAAGTAACAAAGGTTAGTAGTAATTAGATAAACGGATTACAAGTATGACTAGTAGGTGTAGGTAAGCTGCCTAGTTAGTTCAACATATTGTACTTACTAGATAGATGGCGCTCTGTATTTATGCCTACTGGTACCGCGTTTCGCACTAGGTGGCGTTGTGTAATTTTCTCTACTATGTATGTACTATATAGTATTACTATAGTACCTAACGGTCTACCGATATTTGTAAGAGAGAAGAGAAAAAGTCTGTAAATAGTTTAACTGTCTTGCTTTTGAAAATAAAGGCATCTGAAAAGTTGTTCCATTTTACAGATCTTCGTAGACAAATCTGTATGACCTAGACAGAAATATCATTTTGCAGGTACGTATGTAGTTAGGTATTAGTAAGTACCTCCAAAGAATCCACTTTACCCACAAGACTTTCGAGAAACAGGTTCATTAATGATCATGTGTCACAGCTTATGGAGGCCCAGCTCCAAAGCCTCGAGCAAAGGCGAAAATTCATAAAACGTATACTATCATTGTGATTATTAAAGAGTATTAGATATTACTTATACTATACTACTATTTAGATGGCTGGCGTGTCGTGTCGCGGGATCGATTCCCGCACGGAACAATTCTCTGTGTGATCCACAGATTGTTGTTTCGAGTCTGGGTGTCACGTGTATGTGAACTTGTATGTCTGTAAATGTACCTACCACGACACAGGAGAAAATCCTAGTATGGTCAAGTTTTTTTTAAAGATCACCATTGCACCATCAGAAAAATAGTAAATAAAATGCCAGGTTTGCATGGTAGATAATAATCGACGTACCTACTTGCACGAAAAAGAGAATCCCTAAGTTAAGTCGCTAAGTAGTGGAATTTTGTTACTGTGTTTGCAGAAGTGTACCTAAGTAAGTATAATTGAGGTGTCTCGACGGATCAGTTTACTTTAGGGCGTGCCCGTAGGCCACATCATCGCTTACCAAAAGGCATGTTGGTGGCAAAATGCCGAGTCATTAGGTAAATATAAAAAAGTTAGCTAGTTAGTTAGTTCGTTTATACCTAATACATACGTAGGTATCTAACTACATCAACAGCCTATAAATACCCACTGCTCAGTAAAGCCTCTTCTCACACGAGACAGGTTTCATCATTAATCACCACGCTTGCTCAATGCGGGTTGGCGATTTCAAACATATAGTCAGAAATTATAAGCCCAGGTTTCCTGATTCCTCACAAC